AAAAACCTCAAATTCTGATAGTGGCAATATATAATAGAGGATAAAGGATGATGCACTGCCCATTATCACGTGATAATGCACAGTTATGACATCATAAAAACCTCAAATTCTGATAGTGGCAATATAAAATAGAGGATAAAGGATGATGCACTGCCCAAAATCATGTGATAATGTACAGATATGTCATCATAAAAACCTCAAATTCTGATAGTGGCAATATATAATAGAGGATAAAGGATGATGCACTGCCCAAAATCATGTGATAATGTACAGCTATGTCATCATAAAAATCTCAAATTCTGATAGTGGCAATATATAATAGAGGATAAAGAATGATGCACTGCCCAAAATCATGTGATAATGTACAGCTATGACATCATAAAAACCTCAAATTCTGATAGTGGCAATATAAAATAGAGGATAAAGGATGATACACTGCCCATTATCACGTGATAATGCACAGCTATGACATCATAAAAACCTCAAATTCTGATAGTGGCAATATATAATAGAGGATAAAGAATGAAGCACTGCCCGTAATCATGTGATAATATGGCAAGGTCCCTTAACATGAATGATTCATAGAAGTGTTGGTAAAACATTCAATATTTTCAATCCATGCACAATTTTTTGGAGAGTTCAAAAACAACCTCAAATAGGGCTCAGATATAGTGTCTCATAATCAGGCAAACCGGGTACCAATCAACCAATTAGAATGCTCCATTTGAATAAACAGCTACACTCTGTATTACAATAGATAACATCAGGAAAGAATAACGCTAAACGACATGATTCACGGTAATATTCCCGATTCCCGAAAGTCACTTTCCTTCTCAGTCTTAAATAGTAACTCACTATCAAAACTCACATCAATTGCAAAACGCATGAATTGCATGCAGTTTTACCCATCATGCAGTTGTTCTATTAAAAATTCTAATATTCAGAAACATAAAATATAATAATACAGTTTTCAAATTACAACAGTTTTTTTTTTGTTTCTTTTTAAACTATATGTACTTCAGAATCAAACTTCTAGCGTTCCGGTAACTTGTGCATCATCTGCCGCAAGACCACTGCTTCCTGTCCCGAGATCAAAAGAATTGCTTCGCTTGCGCTCTGTACTTTCATCTCTAAATGGATTTGATCGAATTTCTTCCTCCACATCTTTTGTACTCTCATCATTCCATGCATCTTCTTTAAACAAGGGTTCAATATTATGAATACTATGCGTTGCTGCATCAACTCGTGCGCCACCAATTGGAGCTATCATATCATCCCCTTCAACTTCTCGAAAACGTCCATAATTTTCGTTTGAAATACCTTGCTTGTCCTTGGCATCTTTTATCGTATGTAATGAGTGCAATACAGCACTAATTATCAACATTATGCCTGAAAGAAAGAAATTATTGAAAAAGATTTGATTACAAAATAACGATTTCTATGGAGAAATGATATCGCTTCCTACTATTTACATGATTTTATTTTTATTCGTCAACATGGGGTGTATTTCAAGTTCACGTTAAAGTTATGTCTTCCTTCTGAATCAAAAGAAATTAGTGTAATTAGTACATATTGAATCTGAACAAAACACTTCTATTTCATGTATGAGAACACAATAACAAGGAAGATAAACACGCTATGTGAAGTTGTATACCTTCCTATCATGAATGGTCTGTTTACATAGTATCACAGAGCGTCAGTGACGCTCGTCAGTAAACTATGAATACGTCTGACTGTAGAATTAGACACATGAGCTATGTTATCGTAAAAGCCTACTCATAATGTTTGAGAAAGTCAGTCACAAATCACATGACAATGTTCATTGGTTTATTATGTAAAATCATGGAGCTATTGTCATTCTTTTGTATGTACAGTGACATAATTTGAAAAAACTTTGAAATATTTAATTTGCATTTATGACTAGCCTTCTACCTCAAGTGTCTTATATGTGATTCTATTCCAAATCATTAAAGCATTCAATACGTACATTTTTCAAATACATAACGACAAAAGAAATGAACCCCATTTTAGTTTTCAGATTCACTCATTTACATATTTCTAGAAATGTGCAATACATTTGCTATTATGACCTGTAGGATCTTTAGCACATAGCTGCATGCCCTTAACTTTTCATCTACCTTTGATAAATAAAGATGATAATGACCTTCAACTTTATACAGTAATATACAACTATAGACACTATAGTGTTTGTCTTGTTGGCACCTTGTGAGAGGGTAATCACTCACTAGCGATGCACAACGGAGGTGAGGAAGGTGAGCAGCTCACGTAAGGGACACTTTGTTAACATTAGGGCTACAGAATTATCATTGCACTTAAAGCGCCAACAACATAAATGCCATATGTCCATCTTTATATAATATACTCTGTAAACAGATTCTTACAATGCAAGTACTGTTATGAGTATTATATGGATATTACGAGGATACAGCAAAGTCTGTACAAAGACAGCACAGCAGGAATATCGACCAATGCGCAGTGGAGGTCGTTGCGACTGCGTACTGTCTGAGTACATACTTTGCATTATCCTCCTAATAACCTTATTATTACCCGGTATACATCTTTTTCTACTAGAGATACATCATGGGAATGCCGAAATCCAAAGTGTTTAGAACAGATTTAGCAAATTTAGCAGTGCAATATCGCAAAATTACGCCACGTTGTAACTAACTAATAACTAACTAATAAATTGAAATTAATTTAATTTATATTAGAATACTAGGTTCTTGAGCTGTAGCTAGGGTGAAAAATCAAATTGAAATATGTTGATGATCTTTAGTAATTTTTTTAGTATTCTGATCTACATTACATAAAATAATTGCTTTTGCAACTAAAACACAATTCAATTTCAATGAAATGAGCATGCATATTGAATAAATAGTACATACAAGTTATTTAAAGCGTATACTGGTACCGTATTTACTCTGTTAGGAGAACATGCCTTTGTGTGAATGACAAAATTTAGTCTATAATCAAAATATCACATACAGTATTTCAATTTTGGTTTATGTGTACTTTTATTGAAAAAAAGTGTTCTAACAGAGCAAATACAGTATTTATGAATTTTTCTTATTTCATCAAATGAATGCTACAATCTTATGCATAATCAAAATAACGTTCTTAACTAATGATGCATTTAATATATGAATTCCTGTAGTATCAGATAAAAAACATTAATAATACTGAAATCAATCCATTTTAGCTGTTGACGAATTTTCCACAAAAATACATAATATGCACATACCTAGTTAAAGCAGTGGTTGCCATGGCAATCATTAGTAGCATGTTATGATTAGTATTTCATTGACACAAGCAATTTACAGGCATGGTGGCAGAAACAGCAATGCAAAAACAGAAAAAAAGCAAGATGTTAAACAAATAAATTCATATAATACATAAAAAACTTTGCTGTAATTAATGTATTTTTTGATCAAAATACAGTTTTATTTCTGTCTTTGGAGACTAATTGATGTGAATGTATGTTTTAGTAAAAAAAAATATATATCATCTTATTATTTCAAATATAATAAAATTTCATGTCTATTGAAAATAGAAATATCATATTTATTAATAGTGCACATGCTTACATAGATGACAGTGTTCTACGATCAAACAAAGGCATATTTTAAACTTTTCAATACCAGACTTTCTTGCCCACATTTGTCAGTACTTTGTTCTTATATTCTTAAATATTTCTGGAAATGAACTCTAATTTTGGAGCCTACAGACAAAATTTGAATCAATTTTCAGTTTTTACTAAAAAAAATTGGCTATTTTTGTCCCAATCTTCTGAAGAAAAGTGCAGACTATAAACAGAACTATTTTGTGAATTTGTAATGAAAAGGGGGATACTGGTGGTGAAAAGGTTATTGATGAATGCAGTCAACAATAAATGCAATGTTTGTGCACTTCTAATAGAGTATATACGTTGAGTTGAATGTTTTATGGTTGTTAGACTACAATAGGTGATTTTCCGTACAATTGCGAGATCTCGCGAGATGCATGAAAGACGCACGTCGAACGTCTGCCATAAAAATCAAATGATTTGATATGCAATTTCAAATGATTTGATTTGATTTTTAACTTGAATTTCTTTATTTCGTAGCTCACATCGACCGGCCGATCTTCGACAGAGGAATATTGCTTTCGAATACCCTGACTTAATCGAAATTGCATATCATCAAATGTGGACAGCACATTATTAAGCATGGAAATGTCCCCGAAAATACTTTTGCGTTTGTCTAATTCCACGCAATGTTTGACGCCACTACGACGCTATGACCTTTGTTTGTCCTGTTTTACGTTTGATTTCACGCATAACGCATGATTCTCGCAGTGAACGGAAAATGGTCTATTGCACGAGATGGTCGATTTCGTATATCTATGGCCTACAACCTAACATTTCACCTAATATTGTACAAATTGATATCTGACATTCAAAAATATTAAGAAATTAACAAAACATACAGCTTGCCATGACCATTCAATTATGAATAGTTTACTTGTCACATCACAGATACAGATATGAAAAGTGTTCCATATATTGTACACATTTTGACTTTTGACTACTGTGGAATACCGGTACTTTATTTTCGCTTGGAATTTATTTTCGCTATTTTCGCTGAAGGGATGATTCTGTGAAAATAATATCCAGCGAATATACTTAATTTTCCTATATTTCACATTAAACTCATCAAAAATCAGTGAAAATAAATTCCATACAAAACGCCCAAAAATCTTTTTCAGCGTATTCACAGTATTTATATTATCAGGGGGGAATTAAGGCATGTTCACCGCCTGGCAACCATCTCCAGGGAAAACAATGGTTGCAAACTCTCAGAAAACTGTACTTTGGGATAGTTGTTGAGACTCTCAACAGTGTAATAAGATTGTTCAGTATTGTCTCATGGTTGAGTTTGCAGCTCTTCTGTAGCTCCGTCCCAGAGAACAGCAGTGAATAAAATGTCGTACATACATCCCAAATATGGGCAATCAGTGTACTTCTATGGCATCATGGGAATTACTGGCTAAACCACATATAAAATTTGTTAAATTATTTTATATATGTGAATATTCATATTTTTCTTTTTTGACTGCTCGCTGCTCTGGCGTCTCTTCGTCTTTGTAAACTGTTTTTACTCCATAAATTAGTGCCAATAATATCACTAAAGAACCTTAAAACCAAAATAAAATAAGGGAAAAAAAACTTAAAGTAAGTATCAAAGGAAAGATTATTATAAGTTGATGTCAATATTTGCAGTGTAAATTTATTCAAAATGTTTTGAATAAATTGACAATCTCATCTTTAACCCTTTGAAAGCTATTCCTTTCCCGATCAAACTTTTTTGTACAATATTTTGTACTTTTTTGGGTATTTTTCAATAATTTCTTCATTAATTTTGGACTAAATAGACATAATTTTCCACTATCTACTGATCGTAATCAAAATTGGTTAAAAAATGTGTAAAATTTACGCGGATTTATTTTGTGAAAGGTAGACGAAAGCAGTTCTTTGGTGTTCAAAGGGTTAAAGGGCGGTGGTCGTCACACCGATAAACATTGATTTTACCACAATCCAATGCGCTCTTCCAATGAAAATCACGAGTACATGTTTTAACCTTGGTGCAACTTGCACTCCTTCAATACCATCCAATCACCAAAGAAATTACAAGTTTGGTAATGTGTCAGTTTGTACTAGTAGATCTGTGAAACAGTCAAAGTCGCCATCTTTATTCATAAGAGACCCATATCTTGCACATGTGTGGTGCAACGACCACCACCCTTTAAAGGTGTACCGTCTTTTATAGAGTTTTAAATGCCTTTAATTGACTTGTGATGTAACACTGAAATGTGTCTTGTACCAACTAATAACAGTTACTGTATTTGCCAGAAATTTGAGATAGAAGCTCATTACAAATAACTGAAAATTAACAACCATTTTTTTTTTGTCAAAAATGTTCATAAAAGTACAATATGTAGAAAAAAGGCATCCAATAAAATTTTTGCAATATTATTCTACTGTAATTAAAATGAAATATTTGAGCAAAAGTAATACCGTATATAAAAAATCACAAAAATTATTTTAACACTAGCACATAGCATGAATTTTCTTTTAAAATATTTTTATTAGTAGATTCATAGCAAATCATTGATGTTTTTTTTAAAGAAATACTTTATTTGTTTTGATGGAAAAAAATACAACAATTTAGCTCTTTCAAATAGAAAACAAAAAATGGCTTGAAACTACATGTAATGAAGAATTTAATTTGAGTCAAAATTATTAATATAAAAAACATAAAAGCAAAGTGTGATTTTTGTGTAATTATGATGATTACGAATTAGCATGGAAAAGATGTAGAAAGAATGTCGAAAGTGTACAGAAATAAATTAAAATGAAGATCTATCAATGTGAAGCATTTTCAGATACAGGTAACCGCATGCCACCTTTATTTGAGTACAACATATGAGCCTAAATAAATATGTTTACCATATTTGTTCTCCATCATATGTATCATCAAATTATTATATACATTCATATTTTAAAACGAAGGGTCGTCGCTTGCGCACATGCGGGAATTGAGTCCCACTCGTCGATAACAACACACGCTAAGAACGCAATGGCTCATGGGTATACGCTTTGTTTGTAAACAATGACATGCTATGGCCATCTGACGCATGCACAGGTGACGACTCCCCCACTTTAATATTATTATAATTACAATACATGCAACTGTTGGTTTATACACGGTTACTAGTAACCGTGGTTTATATGCTCTTCCAATGGTAATACAGTGTTACTTTATTTTTCTGGGAATTTATTTTCCAAAATTGTGTTGACAATTCAAGCTCATGCAGTGATTAATCACATGCAAACCATTTCGAGATTAGTTTCCAGGAATAGACTCATTTCAGCAAAAAATAGCTATTTAAATATATTCTGAGTAAAATACAGTATTTTATCCTGTATATTATGGGAAGTCAGTATAATAAAGCAATTTTCTGTGCTATGGAATAAAAATCTTAGTATTACAAGCGAATGGTCATGCAGAATGTAATAAAGTATACAGTAAACTAAACGATATTGATAAACTTTGTCTGATTTATTAGAATTTTGTTTTGCAGACTTCACAGCTCCGGGAAAAAATAGGAAGCATGTGACACAAAGTACAGCACATGCGCAGGTCACCCTACAAAGGTCAACCGAATGTTTTCCCCAGTGCATGTCAGAAGTTTACCGCACTCCATGCTTGGAGTTTGACTTTTGACATTTAGGCAATCACAAAATAATTCATTAAGTAGGTTTTACCAAATTTTTCTTGAAATTATCAGGAATTGTATTAATTTGGATATTTCTGGCAGTTTCAGAAGTTAAGCTATAACATGTGTGTATAAATGTAATTCTCACAACCTCAACTTTTCTGTGTACAGAAATTTGTTTCACTTATGTCTAAGTGTTGATTTTTTCAGATTGTGAAACGGTCATAGTTTAAGAATTGACTTCAACAATTGTAACCATGTTACCAAGTTACCAAATCATCCCCAAAAAGGGAACTATAGTGACAGCTCAAAAAATAACTATACTTTCTAATCGCAATAGTGTAAAATACAGTCAGTCAGTGTTCATGGACTGTGGTCTTTTATTCAAATCAGTCAGGATGTTTTACAATGTCTTGACTCAGGGTCACAAATCATAATCACTGTGTTAGTTTTCAGCTTGTAAAATCAGTGAAATGGGTACATGGGATAAGTAAGACATCAAATTTATGACTTTACACAATATCAGATTTTCATTTGTTGACAATTGAAATTTATTACATTTGTTTAACTTTTCTCCCACCAGACTTCCTTGGCCAAATTTGTATGCACTTTTTTTTTTATGTTCTTCAAAATTTCCGGAAATGAACCTTAATTTTAGAGCCAAGAGACAAATTTTAAGTCAATCTTCAGTTTTTACTCAAAAGAATTATTTTTTTTTTGTCCCAATCTTCTAAAGGAAAGTGCAGACTATAAATAGGACTATTTTGTGAATTTGTGATGAAAAGCGGGAACTGGTGGTGAAAGGGTTGATAAATCTGATATTGCAGGTGCAGGTATGATGGTTGAAACAATATTCTGATTAAATACTGTTGCTTTTTTATCATAATTCACTGTCTGCTTAATCCCATGGAAAATATTGAAGTTGAATTGTTTTTTTTTCCTCAAATAACACTGAATAACAAAAATTTGATCTAGCAGCATCTGAGTCAGCAGTATTATGAAATCAGTAGGTGATTTTCAGTTCAGTGAGAGGGCTTGTGTATTGCGTGAAAGACGCAAACTAAACATTGATCTGCAGCAAAACAGACTTGATTTTGAATTTGAATTTTTTAGAAACACTGATCTTCCAGAGGGGAATGTGGTGTTGAGATATATTTACCTCATAAAAATTTACCATCATCGAATGTGTATAGCATTTAAGTATGGAAATACCCCAAAAAATTACTGTGGCATTTATCAAATCTCATGTGTTTTAACACACTGTGATGATATGAGATTTGTTTGTTGTGTTGTTATGTTCAATTTGCATAACATAGTATCTGGCACTGTGAATAGAAAATACTACAAAGCAATTGGACTTGCGGTTTTTAACAAGAAGTCGAAAATATCACTTTTTACCAAAAATGACAAAAATATTCACTAAAATTAGAGAATTAAAGATATCATTACAATAATGAACAAATCTGAGAGAGGTACACATGTAGTACCTATATATGTAATATCAAAGTATTTGCACTTGCGGTTTTTAACAAGAAGTCGAAAATATCACTTTTTACCAAAAATGACAAAAATATTCACCAAAATTAGAGAATTGAAGATATCAACATGAAATGAACAAACCTAAGAGAGGTCTACCCAAGGTACATATACACCAAGTATCAAAGCATTCTGGCTTGTAGTTTTCAAGAAGCAGTTGAAAAAGTAAAACATTGACACGGACAACGGACGACGGCGACGGACGAGGACAGACAATCACTCATATGATAAGCTCCGCTCGACAAAGTCGACAGCGGAGCTAAAAATATATTTAGAAATTCATACATTCATTCAAAGAAAATCGTTAACAACGCCACCAACAATGATGCTGACAGACATGTTACCCACAACACTTTCCATTCTTCATTACAAGAAAAAAATGGACTAAACCACTTTGTCAGAGGGGTGATTGACTGATTATAGCAATAGTGTAAAATATGACAGGACTAGGCCACTTTGTCATAGGGGTGTATGACTCATTAATAACAAGGAAAAAATGTGACTGGACAATGTCACTATGTATTTTACTCACCTGATATAACAGCCATCCATACTGTGTGTGGGTTTAGAAAACATACTATGGATAACAATATATAAAGAATACCTCGCTTCCAATTATCTATCCAGAGGATGCCACTCCAACATTTACCACAACAAGTGTCTTCACTAAAATACAAAATTTAGAACACAATTAAGCCAATGAGAATGAAGCAAGGACTTGTCATAAACATTGCCCTTGAAAACAAGTTATTATGCAATTAGTTAGAGGTTGGTTGAGATCTTGATCTCATTGCCATGGAAACGAGAACATAAACATAAATTACACAGTCATAATAAAGTTTTTACCTGCAACACTTCTTAACACATGGATTCAGTAAAAACAAGGCTTCAAAAAAAGTAACAATTATGGCAGTAAATCTGTAATAAATAAATTATTCAATTATTTATTGTACTATAATAATATTCATAGGCTTTGTAATGTGACATAGCGTCCATGCAACATACATAATGTATGTAAAATAAATAAAGTATTTACAAGAAATTTGAATGTACACTGTTTGCTGACTGTTATGTTAATGAGCAGATAATTATGATTGCAATTATATCAGCCAATCATTTTAATTATAATCAATGTTTTATTATACTCACATAAGATAAACACCAATTTCAATGTGATCTCCTCGATGACATGTTTCAATACCAATACCCCATAAACCTAAGTAGAGTTATAATAAACAAAGAAAAAAATATTTACTGCGGAATTGATTTTTGCTTTTAAGGAATGATTCAGTGAAAATACAATTCAGCGAATATACCTTTTTTCCTATATTTTACAATTATTATAAAATAAAGTATTTTAC